CGTCGTGCGCCCCCGTTCGGCGGGGCGGGGGGCGGGGCCTCGAGCTTGCGCGGCGCGGGCACCCGCCTCAGGGGAGAGCGCGGAGCTGGACCGGAGCCCGGAGGCTGGTTGGAGGAACCGACAGCGAGTCCGCGAAGCTCGTCGGTCAGAGCTTTTCACTAACCGCCGCCCGCGCACCTCCGACGCGCTTTTCCTAATGTTTTGGATGCAGACTTGGATATGGCGGCGACTCGGCAAGACTTTCTGTAGGGTGGCCAGAGAATTCATAGTCTCCGCAGGGCCGGCCACATTGTGGCTTCTGTGAACACTTTAGAAGAGACGGTCAGCTTTGCACTCCTGGGAGCAGATGCAGCGTGGATTTGGCCACACCTGCCCTGGAAGAGCCGGAGGCTTCAGGGTCTCGGGTGCTCGCTGTGTCGCTGATAGAATCTCACTCCAAACCCCAAGAAACGGGGACGCTGTGGTCACGGTTCAGCGGACCCTCCGCGACTGGGGTCACCGTCATGAACGAATGAACTTTTCTGCAGTGCTGGGGCTGTTCCCTCCGGCCCAGGCTGGAGAAGCCTCAGCGCCCGCGAAGCCAGCAGCCTCCCGGGAGTGGGCCTGGCCCCTGCGCCCCGCTTGACCGCGTCTTCCTTCTGCTTTCTTGCGGCCGGTTGGGAGTGTCCCGATTGTCACACCAGCTTTCCTCTGCGCTGTCATTTCCCTTGTTCGTATTTTCTTCGCAATCACGACTCATTCCCTTCATTATTTTGACCGTGACTGGTTTCAGTTCCATTGTGATATACTTTTGATATTTTGAAGTTTCTACCAGACTTACTTCTCCCTTCTTTTTTTCTTCCAGTAAGATGTTTCCTTGCAGTCATGTCTGAATGTTGGTATAATCAATAATTTACAAAAGGTATACACAGTAAATGTGACTTTAAGGCATACACTAGTGCATCTCAAATGCATTTTAAAATTGCCTCTATGTAGCCTGGCCGGGGGTGGCTCAGGGGTGAACACTGATCCACGAACCAGGAGGTCACAGTTCAATCCCCCATTAGGGCACATGCTCGGGTTGGGGCTCCACCCCCAGTAGGGGGCGTGCAGGAGGCAGCCCATCAACGACTCTCATCATGGATGTTTCTCTCCCTCCCTCTCCCATCCTCTCTCTGAGATCAAGAAAAAAAAGTCCGCTGTCATTCTCATTGACATGTCTCAGAATGTAATGTCTCTAGGGACTTTTACCCTTATCTTTGATTTTCAGCAGTTGGACTACAATACGCCTCCAGGTGCTTTTCTTTTAATCTTTCCTCTTCGGGATTTGCTGAAGTTTCGGGATCTGTGGGTTGGTGTAGTCTCATCAACTTACAAAATTCTCACATATTCTCTCTAAATATTTCTTCTGCTCCATTTTCTTTTACCTTCCTTCTGGGCACCCAATTTTACCTACATTAGGCCATTTGCTTACCTACATTGCATTAACTACATTGTACCACTGACGTTTTTTTCTGTTATCTTTTTTTCTTATTGTCATTGTTTTCCCTCTCTGCATTTTGATTCAAATGATTTCTATTGATGTGACTCTGAGTTGAAAAATCCTGCCTTCAGCTGTATCCAATTTGTCATTTAAGCAAATTCAATGAGTTCTTCATCTCAGATATTGTAGCTTTTTCTTTACTCCTGCTGTGTAGCCCTTACTCCTACGGTGTGGCTTTTCTGGTGTCTCAACTGGTTTCTGGTTGCACCAGGACCTCTTCCCTTTGCTCCAGCATCTCAGTGCTGAGAGAACTTTGCAGTTTCTGTTCAGCTCTCACGTAGCACCTGCCACAGGAGAGGCTCAAAGAACAGGGTTAGGCTGCTGTAACAGAACGTCCTCTAGTTCCGCTCATTTATGTGTAAACATTTGCGAAAGACCAGGGATAATACTGATTCTGTACCCTGCCTCATCGATGGATATATGAACTGTTGCGGGGGAGCCCCATACATTAGGAGATAAATCTCCAGTATAATTGAACTTTTTGGTCTTAATCAAAACTTGCATATAATCATATTGCTTTGATCAACTATGTGTTGACAGCTGTAATACTAATTCAACCGAGGGGAAATGACTTGTGTTCACAGGAAACTGCAAATTAACTCTTTCTCCAAGGATAAATAACAGAGTCATCAGTAAGTTGTGTTCAAGTATAAACACTTACTGTATTTAGGAGAAAGTCTGTGGGAGAATTTGAATGGAAATGAGTTTAGGAGAAAAGTGTTTAATAGAACTCCTGACTTCTAAGCAAGAGATTGTTTATATGCTTGCAAGTCATATGATGGTGGGTTTCAAATCACAATGGCTCCCCTTGATACACTTAAGGAATGATGCCACATTTTTATTTTTAAAGTCGACATGTATAATATTTGGGAAACTACATCCATTGCAACTATTTAAACATTATGGGAAATTCTGCTATAATCTTAAATGTGGGGGGCTTACAAGTGTTCACAAAATTAGTGTATTGGGTTCTTGTGCAAAATGCTTTGAGGACCGTGCGTCCAGCTGCCCCATTCCGTAGTGTGAGTCATTACAAACGATCTCCCTGTTTTCAATTTTGTCCCCTACAGCAAACAGGCTCATCTTAAAAAAGAAAAAGAAAAAAAAAGTTTTTACTGATTTTGAGAGAGAGAGGAAGGGAGAGCAATAGCGAGAAACATCGCTGCCACCTGCACATCCCCTACTGGGGTGGAGCCTGCAGCCCGGGCAAGTGTCCCAACCGGAATCCCACCGGGGACCTCTTGGTTCACGGTCAGGGGAGGCTCAACCACTGAGCCGCATTGGCCGGGCTCCTTCTGTACTCAAATTGTATCGTTTCGTCCTAACTGTTCTTCACCTCGATGACCGCCGGCCCTGTCCACGGGGCCACTGCGTTGGCAGAGGGCGACAGCTCCTCCTGGGCCTCGCGACCGTCCCTCGTGGGCCCTCGCGGTGCACTGCGCCTCCTCTGGCGGACACCGGGAGGTGCGACTTACCGCGG